TAGGTCATTTCTTAAAAACAAACAAACAAACAAACAAAGCTATTATTGAACAAGATAGGGAAGATACAAGATGGACACGTGGGAACATGTGGAGGGATATATGAAGAAATGTTCTCTTTGGACCATGTTAAGTTTAACAAGCCTGTTAGCCATTCATGAGGAGTGTTCATTAGAAACTCTGGTGTGCATAGGGACGTCAGGATATCATATTGGATGTCTCTGGAGAACTGCTACAGTTGCCCTTCACTAACTGCTCAGCAGCTTTCCTTATTTGTCTGCATTTGTGTGGCTTCTCCTGACTTTCTGTGGGTACAACCTGATGCACTCCCTTACACATGCCTATTGTTTTCTGCCTTCAAGGCTTCTTAATGAGGAGCAAGCCCTACTCAATGGCTATGAAGATTCATCTGGGAAGTGGGGAGAGCTAGCATCTTGTGGGGTAACTATTAAGAATGGGATCCAGTCTGCTCCCAGGATGCACTTATGTGGCTCTTAAGGAAGGTCCCTGGAGGTGAAGCAATTAGTTATACTTGGTCCCAAGAGGAAACACGTTCAGTAATGCATCATAGTGTTCATTGTTTCTCCCTTCCATGACTCACTGTCTCAGTCAATTTCATGTTCCTCTGTCAAGGTACTTGAAGCTGGGATGACTATAAAGACAAGAAATTCATTTGCCCTGTAGCTCTGGAGGTTCAGAAACAGGGTCCAGTGTCCCAATAAGGGCTTTGGATACACCATAAGATGTTACAAACATGGAAAGGGACTGTGTGACAGGGGCCCCGCAGCGCTGCAGTCTTGATCTATATCACTGTTATCTTTAGCAGTAATTTATTCTGCATTACTAATCTCTTCAAGAGGTGGTGCCCTCATGACCCAAGCACCTTCCACTAAGCCACACCACTTAAGGTTCCATTAACTTTCAACTGGTCTTTCCACGACCAAGTTTCCTGCACATGAACCTCATGCAAAACATAGCGCTTCCCTTTCCCTTAGTATTCAGAAAGCAGGAGAAGGGTGTAGTTGAGCAAAGGCGACAGAGAACAGAAGCAGAGCAGGACATAGAGGTGCCATGGACACTCTGGAGCACAGAATTCTCACTTCTGCAGACTGTTTCTGTCCAAACAGAAGACACAGAGGTCATTAGTGACCTCAAGCAGGCGGTTTTGATGGCTAATGTGGGCTGCAGGGAGAATATAAGATTCAAAAGAAAAAGGCAGAGGCAATAAATACACAACCTTTATTTTGAAGAGAAGCAGAAATCAAAGTGGATGCAAAAGCCAGGTGTCCAGGCAGAGGTTTACAATCTCAGCACCTGGGAGGCAGAGGCAGGAGGATATAACAGTAAGGTCATTCTCAGCTACACCATGAGTCTGAAAGCAGACACATTTATCTAATTATTCTTTATCAACAAAAACTTGGGAGTCAGATATCGGGGTAAGAACCTGAAAGATCAGAGAAGCAGCAGAGAAGCAACCAGTGACCTCCTATCTCTTCCGTGCCTCCACCCAAAAGGGCTGAGATCCTCTCTCCACCCTGCCTTACTACATCCTGTCTCTCTATCTGTCCTCAGTCCTCCAAAACCTCTATGGTTAATTTTGGTCAGCTAGTGGCTAGCTTTGCCTTCTGATCCAAAGCAAACTTATGGTCAGTATGCAATCAAAATATCACACAACAGAAAACAGCTGGATCTACATGGGCCCTGTCTAAACAACAACAACAAAACAAACAAAAGACCAAAACAACAACAACAACAACAACAAATAACAACAAAAAAAGATGCAGGAAGGATGCTTGGGAAGGGAGGTTTTTTATTTCCAAAGTGAACACTCTTTTCATGTTTCTGGAGCACTGGGGAGACTCACATGCATGGAAAACCAAGAGCCGGTGGGAGTAAGACACAGATGGAGAAGAGTCAGTGGACGTTCACGATATGGGGGCTGGAGAGGAGGATGGACGTGAGTTTAGATGGAGAGATCAGCGGTGAGGTTACTGGGCAGAGCGGACAGTGGAGTATGTATGATGAGTCTACCCTCTCTCCACTCGGGGAGCCTGGGTTTTTTCCCCTTCCCTCTTCTCTCCCCAGAGACCTACTTTTTCTTCTGGGACTTTCATTTGTTCTCAGCTCAAGACCCTTAAGACAGTAGGGACAGGAATCTCCAAATTCCAACCCCTGTAAGACAGCCACGGAAAGACTCCCTAACAGCTTTGGCAGGGAGGTGGCCACCACAACCCGCCTACCTGTGGACTATCAGTTCATTAGAAGAGCCAGGATGAAGGGTTGAACACAGACACAGACACACACACACAGAAACACACCCACAGACACACACAGACACACACACACACCACATACACACAGATACACACCACACACACACACACACACACACACACACACACACACACACACACACACACAGAGTTTGTTTCATGGAGATACCTTTACTGTGGGCCAGTAATCACAGTCAGGAAAATTTCCTGTTGGGAAACATTATCTATTATTAAATTCAGCCACTGTAAGGAGCCTGTGTAGCAGTAATCACGTGTGTGTGTGTGTGTGTGTGTATACGCTTGTGTGCTCTGAAACATTATCTATTATTAAATTCAGCCACTGTAAGGAGCCTGTGTAGCAGTAATCACGTGTGTGTGTGTATGAGTGTGCGTATGTGTGTGAGTGTGTGTGAGTGTGTGTATGTGTGTGTATGTGTGTGAGTGTGTATGTGTGTGTATGTGTGTGTGAGTGTGTGTGAGTGTGTGTATGTGTGTGTATGTGTATGTGTATGTGTGTGTATGTGTGTGAGTGTGTGTATGTGTGTGTATGTGTGTGAGTGTGTATGTGTGTGTATGTGTGTGTGAGTGTGTGTGAGTGTGTGTATGTGTGTATGAGTGTGTATGTGTGTGTATGTGTGTATGTGTGTGTATGAGTGTGAGTGTGTGTATGTGTGTGTATGTGTGTGTATACGCTTGTGTGCTCTGAAACATTATCTATTATTAAATTCAGCCACTGTAAGGAGCCTGTGTAGCAGTAATAACGTGTGTGTGTGTGTATGAGTGTGTGTATGTGTGTGTATGTGTGTGTATGTGTGTGTATGTGTGTGTATGTGTGTGAGTGTGTGTATGTGTGTGTGTGAGTGTGTGTATGTGTGTGTGTATGTGTGTGTGAGTGTGTGTGTATGTGTGTATGTGTGTGTATGTGTGTATGAGTGTGTATGTGTGTGTGAGTGTGTGTGTGTGAGTGTGTGTATGTGTGTGTATGTGTGTGTGAGTGTGTGTATGTGTGTGTATGTGTGTATGAGTGTGTATGTGTGTGTGAGTGTGTGTGTGAGTGTGTGTATGTGTGTGTATGTGTGTATGGGTGTGTATGTGTGTGTGAGTGTGGGTGTATGTGTGTGTATGTGTGTATGTGTGTGCACGCTTGTGTGCTCCTCTTCAGTGTTACTTTGGCTCGTGTCTCTATCTGAAGATAACACCTGTCTATAGGGAGGAATTCTGGGAAAGGAGTTGTCCCCAGGCCTCTGTGAGTCCATGACCCATCTGAAGCATGTTCTAAAGGGCAGTGTCCTTTGGGGGTGGTGTTCCTGGAAGCAAAGGAGTTCAGAAGTTAACAAGCCAATGTCTTGGTCTTCGTTATTTCCAGGCAGTACCTTGGTCACTGGCTTGTCAGGGTTTCCAGGCTATAAAGCAGCAAGTCCAGGGGCTCAGGCTTGAAGGCAGGTGTGGATCAGAACCCTGTCCTCCATATCTTCGCCCAGTGACACAGGGTGCTATCAATGACATTGTCCTTACACACTTCTTAGGAAGACTGTGTGATTTCAGCAAAGTGCCTGATGCAAATGTGGGCATAAACAACAACGATTGCAACTTCTCGAAGGACATGTTGCCATAGAGTAAAATTCTCAAATATCTAGTGCAATGTATGGCATAGACTCTAGAGAGAGAAGAAAAAGCCATTTGAGGTAGGAGATGAGACTACGGATGAAAGAGCACCAGAGGGAGCGTGGAATTTTGGAACTCTGGTCATTTATTTTTATTTTATTTTAGGTTTATTTATTTTGTGTGTATGAGTATTTTGCTTGTGTGTATGTCTTTTACTATTTGCTTGTGTCAGATTCCCAGGATCTGGAGTTATGCATGGTTGTGAACCATCACGTGGGCCGCTGGGAATGGTAGCCAGGTCCTCTGCAAGAGCAACCAATGATCTTAACTCCTGAGCCATCCCTCTAGCCCCTGAATGCTGATTATTGTGGCAGATTTTGGTTCAAATTCCAAGTTAGCTGCTTGGGTCCTTGAGGGGATGCTCCATTGCTGAACCTCACTTTTCCCACCTTAAAAAAACCAGCCATAGTAATGCTTGCCTCATGAGGTTGTCGCAAGGACAGCGGAGTGACACACTGAGCACAAGGCCTGAAGCATATTAGACATTTACTGGAGAGGGAGGGTGTGGGGAAGCCTGGTGACCAGGACTCACCATGCACATAATAGAGGCAGTGTAGCTGAGTGGGGAAGGGTGGCAGCACACATTCCTGAAATCACACCAAGTTAGTAATTAGTAATTATCCACTTTGAGAGGGCAGGGCCTGACCCTGCCCAAATCTCACTTCTGATGATTCAACAAAGGTTGCTAGGTTTGGCCCTAACAAGGGCCCCTTTCAAACATACGTAAGTTATTAATAATCTTGGGCTCTGATCTTGGACATCCTCCTTTTTTTCATTTTGCCTTGAACATCCTGCCCTTTGATTAAAAACAGTCTATTCTAAATTCATATTTTCAAAAATGGCCCTTAAAAATTCTTTCAATTGTGTCACTCAGGCATGGCAGAATCTTGGTTCTCAAGTTTGTCCAAAGTTCATGGGACTAGCACCCCCTGTATCATTCTTGCCAAAACTGCTTGAAATTGCTTAAGTGGAGTTGGGTCACGGGGAAATAATCAGATAAATTAAGAGTATGACACATTCTAGGAGCTAGCTGCTCTAGACTGGAAAATCTTGAGAAAGAAAAAGACAGGGCTGGAAGTGGGTAGACACAGGTTAAGATACAAGACGTATACTGTGAGGTTTGAGTGAGCATGGAGCATGCCTCTGCGTGGGAAGAGGCCTAACTTTGAGACAGTTGGGGCTGCAGGTGGAAGATCCTGGCTACTAAAGGTAACATAAGCATAAATACTGGGAATTATGATTCACAACTCTGTAATGGAATTTTCCATTATTTCTATAGAGGACCATGTACATACTTTTGGGCACGTGGACACCTTCTTCTGGGAAAAGAAAAGGCAAATGGTCCTTAGAACTTCATGATCATGCAAGATGTTACCCCTGGTCTATCTTTACGAATGGTTTATGGGGAGGGGTTCATTGATCTATTTGAACCTGCTCAAAATAAGAAGTTGGGCAGGAAATGTCATGGGAGAAAACCAGCTGGCTAATTGGCATTTCTTCTTCCAGTGAACATTTTTGTGTAGTGAGAAGCACTGTAAGTCTTCCCAAAGCAGCTGGGGTGCCCCTCTCCTTTCCAGATGTGGAACTCCCCCACTGTGATGCAGAAGCTCATTCTCACATTGGGAAATATTCAGCTGAAGGGCTGGATAGAGAGGTGATATGGGATAATGCTCTTGTTCACTGTAAGGATTCGTCACCCAAATTGGTTTAATAAAATTCTGTTTGGTCAGTAGCTAGCCAGTAAGTATAGGAGGGGCTACCAGACAAGGAGAATTCTGGGAAGAAGAAAGGCAGAGAAGGGGTCACCAGCCAGACACAGAGGAAGGAAGATGAGGATGCCTTATTGAGAAAAGGTACCAAGCCACGTGGCTAAGCATAGATAAGTATTATGGGTTAATTCAAGTTGTAAGAGCTAGATAGTAATAAGCTTGAGTCATTGGCCAAACAGCTTACAGTTAATATAAGCCTCTGTGTGTTTATTTGGGACTGAACAGCTGCAGGACAGAAACTTCTGTCTACAGAGAGGTAGATCCTCAGAAATGAAACAATGAAACAAATGTGCATTTGGGAGGGTAACCACTAAAATAATTTCCCAGAAAGTAAGAAATATCTTTCTATCAACTGAGTTGGGCTGGCAAAGTGTCTAATCAAACTTGTAGGAATTTCACTGGTCTGTGTATTAAAGGTTCCGACTTTTAGAGTCAAAAGAGTTGAAAATTTCACCTGGGACCAGGCAGTGGTGGTGCACACCTGAACTCCACAGCACTAAGCAGGCAGAGGCAGAACTTTTTATGAGTAGGAGGCCAGCCTTGTCTGGAGAGTTGAGTTCCAGGACAGCCAGAGCTACAGAGAGAAACTTTGTCTCAAAAAACAAAACAAAACAAATTGCACCTGGGATTTCCCTGGGAGAAAATGCTGCCAATTTTTAGATTATACTGTGTTAATTATGTATCTCATGGAATAGATTTCTTTTCAAGAATGGATTTGGAAAGGACAGACAGACCCTGCATCATTTTACTTGGCCTGTAATTACCGTGTTCTAAGGCACCTTGAGATCTTAATGGCCTGACTCCTTCAGATCTAATGGTGTCAGATTTAAATCTAGCCACATAAAATGTTGGGGGCAAAAGCAGCCCAGTAAACAAACTTATTAATAGCAATGGGATCCAACAGGGAACACACATACACACACACACACACACACACACACAAGTCAGTGGGGGTATTAAGTTCCTGGGATAAGTTAACATGGATTAAGCAAAACTTTTTATAGTTCGAGTTCTTAGTATCAAATTTTGAAGCACAGCAATATCTAATAATATAATTATAATAAAACAATTATTTAATTTATATTAACTACTTCTAATAGGTTGTAGGTATTTCTAAAGGGGTATGCTAAAGAAAAAAAAACCTGATATGCTTAAAGTACAGGTATTGGGCATATATTTGATTCCTAATTTGGGAAGAGAACCATGCATGCATGTTGGAGTGAGGCAAACTTGTCAGACGTTGTTCTCTCATACTTCTTGTGCATGCATGCATATGTGTGTGTATGTGTGTGTTCATGCATGTGAAGGTCAGAGGTCGACATCTGGTGTCATGATCAATGGCTGTCATGCTCAATGTCTCTCTATCTCATTTTTTGAGGCAGAATCTCTCATTCAACCTGGAGTTTACCAATATGGATAGCCTGGCCAGATGAAATCCAGGACTCCCCTTGTCTCAACCTCTCTGTATACCTCAGGTTATTGACATGCTGCCACACCTGTTTTGTTTTGTTTTGTTTTTAATATGTGTGCTGGAGAACTGAGCTCAGGTCCTCATGCTTGGGTGACACATTCTTTACTGACAGAGTCATCTCCCCAGACTTCTCTTCTGTTCTTTAGTCAAGGAGCATTTCAGTGCAGCTCTTGATGTCATGAGGATAGTAGCCATTTCCATTTCAACCCACAAACAGGGAGTTCCTAAGTGCCTCTTTGGCAGTTCCTGAAGTTTGCTGGCTAAAGACCCATGTCACATCACTCAGGTGGCGCTGACAACCTTGCATTTGGTGTTTTAGTGTTTCACTTTTTCTCTCTATCTCTTGGTGGCTCATCAAGGGCTTTGCTGGCCAGGGAGAAGTAGAAGGGATCATCTAGATTTAGATCTGTCTGTTCTGAAGACAGTTTGATTTCCACCCTTAGAAGTTCTTTGTCCCCAGGGGTCTTGGTGGCGTCATCATCAACCTTTTTTTGTGGGCAACAGACCCAGGAGACCAATTTTGGGGGATAGGGTAGATGGGGAACTAATATTGCCATCTGTGCACCTCAGAATTGACTCTGATCTTTTGGGAGTCCAACTTGGCGATAGGATGGAGACGGCTGGTATCAGGAGGCCCCAGATTCTGGATAGTCACAGAAGCTCAGTCTCTGACTGGAATCCAGACTTAGACACTCACGTGACACTACAGTTAAAGCCACAGTCAGTGTGGAACAAGAGCAGTTTGGAAATCAAGCATTTGGAATAGCTTAGATTTTGTAAACATCAATAATCAGATAAAATGATTAGATTTAGAACCAGCTTTGTGTGTACTTAGTTTTTTTCTCTAAATGTCTTCATTGTAAAATGCTATATGGGGGCTTCAAATAAAATTTCTAAGACAGCTTCTTAAGATACTGATGATTTGATCCTTTGTACCCTGGCTTAGTCCTACCCTAAGTACTCCTAGATAAAGCAAAGAACAGGATTGGAATCTGTGAAATGGTGGTAGGAGGATGAGGCATAGCTCTCATGGCAGCCCAGGGTAGAAGTCCCAACTGCCACCGTGACAGTGCTCCCTGAATTGAATGACTTTATGGTTATTCTGACAATTATTGTTGTTTCTATGGTTATCACAGCCTCTCCTAGGGGTCGGCTAACTGGATTTTGCTTCTGATTTGGTTGTTATTATTCTGGAAGCAGGGTCTCTTTGTGTAGTTCAGGCTGACCTTGAACTTGTGGGCATCCTCCTGTCCCTGTTTCCTGTGCTGAGATTACAGGCAAGCACCCTATACTGAACTACAGTCCAGCTCTCTCTCATAATCCCGTGCTTTAGTGAACAGTCTATAGACTCTGAGGGCCACGCCAGAGAAGCCCTTTATGGCCAAAGAAGCACCATAAAGAGTAAGAAGAGGCTTCGGGTGACACAGGCTCCCTCTTGTCTTCTGCACTCACGAGTAGCTCATGAAGATAGAAGGATGACCTTTAGGAACACAGGCCAGGAGCTGACGTCTTCGTTTCCCTCACTATAGAGACCACATACATCCTGGCTGTTGGGCAGGCTGGGTGACCTCCTTCTGTTCTTTGTCAGGCTGCCTGCCACGACTTCTACCTTTATGCTTACAGTCCTCCTCCCCCAGCAACGCCCATGCCTCGGAGATCAGGAAAGCTTGGTCCTGCCTCATCCCTGTCTGAGGCAGGTTGCCAGCATCACTGTCCCAGTTTCACCAACAGAACAACAGAGTCACTTTTCTATTGTTGCCGAACCAAAGTTACCCAGTGAGTCATTGTGAGTCCTAGAACTGGATCCTAATTCTTGTTCCTGGCATCACTTACAGAGCATAATGCCATCAAAGGCTCAAGAGGATGCTGGCACTGAACCTCTCAGAGAATACACTGGCACGTGACTGAGTCAAAAGCAAGGATTAACTCTCTTGATACTAGCAGCCTACAAAAGAGGATAGAAGAGGGGAGTGCAATTGAGAGAGAGAGAGAGAGAGAGAGAGAGAGAGACAGAGACAGAGAGAGAGACAGAGAGACAGAGAGTGTGCGTGCGTGCGTGTGTGCGTGTGTGTGTGTGTGTGTGTGTGTGTGTGTGTGTGTGTACATATATATTGACACAGGGTCTCCCTATGTAGCCCTGGCTGGTCTGGAACTCACTGTGTAGACCAGGTTGGCCTTGAACTCACAGAGACCCACTTGCTTCTGCCTCTTGAGCACTGGGATTAAAAGTGTGTGCCACCACACCCAGAAATACTAGATTTCTTTTTCTTTCTTTTTTTTTTTTTGGTTTTTGAGACAGGGTTTCTCTGTATTGTTTTGGAGGTTGTCCTAGAAATCACTCTGTAGACCAGGCTGGCCTGGAACTCACAAAGGTCTGCCTGCCTCTGCCTCCCGAGTGCTGGGATTAAAGGTGTACGCCACCAACACCCGGCTGCAACACTAGATTTCTAAATGAAGAAGACAGTTTATCTGCAAGCAAGGCAATGGACTTTCTTCATCTTATAACAATCAGTTAGTTATGCGAATGTGAATCTGGGAGGAAACTCAACTTATTTCCTTCTTTTCACAAAGGAATCCTTAAAGTATCCTGCAGAGAGGAGAAAAAATGAGCTCACTCTCACAGTAAAATTAGAAACACAAACCATTCCAAACACAAGCTGTTCATACTTACCAAGAGGATCCTTTTCTATGTTCCATTTTCTGCTTGGCTTAGAATTTCCTCACTCCCTGTCTTCTTTTTTCTTTTATATATTTCTTTCTATCTTTTTTTTGTTGTTGTTGCTGTTGTTTTGTTTTGTTTTTCCAGGCAGGGTTTCTCTATATAGCTTTGGAGTCTGTCCTGGAACTCACTCTGTAGATCAGGCCAGCTTTGAACTCACAGAGATCCACCTGCCTCTGGAGTGCCGGGATTAAAGGCATGTGCCACCAATGCCCAGCTTCCTTTATATATTTCTATCTTTCATTTATTCATTTATTGGCTTATCTATCCATCTATCTATCTATCTATCTATTTGGTATCACATCCATTTCTTTTTTCTTTTTTTTTCTTTTTCTTTTTTTTTTTTTTTTTTTGGTTTTTACGAGACAGGGTTTCTCTGTATTGTTTCGGAGGCTATCGGTCCAGCTCGGCCTCGAACTCACAGAGATCGCCTGCCTCTGCCTCCCGAGTGCTGGGATTAAAGGCGTGCGCCACCACCACCTGGCCCATTTCTAAGCATGTATCTCTTTATGCTCTCAGCTGAGACTAGAAGCCGCAGATTCACTCTCCCCTAGTAACCCTGGAACTAAGAGTAGCTGCAGCCTTAATTTGGAGGCAAGTGAAACTTTTCTGTATTAAACTTGCTATTTAATCCTTTATTTCAGAGCTGTAGAAACAAGGACGTTTTAGAAAGAAGAAATAGGAGTTCTTCCAGAGAATCCAGAAACTCCCAAGACTGCCTTTCTGAAAATGATGACCCACACCAATCCTCAGTTTCCATGGAGACCTCCTCAGTCACAGTCCCTGGAGGCGGAGACCTCAGAATACCAGGAATTTCTTATTTGGAGTGAAGAAGACTGAAGCCAGAGAAATCCCTTCCTGCAGTGGACAGTGGCTTAGCTGGGTAGAGTTCAGACAGTGACTGAAGGGTGCTCAGACTAAATGGGACCTCTGTATCAATCCATTTCCTCGCCGTGGCGCACGGAACATCGCAGAAGAGCCGATAGGAAGAAAGAGCTGGAGGATGGGGAAGAATGGGCCCCAAGGTTTTTTGTTTTTTGTTTGCATGCATGGACCCACAGAAGCTGTGGTTACCTGCGCAAGTCCTGCATAAAGGTCAAGTCAACAGAACCAACCAACATTAACCAGACTTGGCAGGTTACAAAACAAATGAACCCAAACCTAAAGCTAAATGAACGTGGTAGGGAAACGTGTGGTTGTTGTGGGTGGGTTTGATCCATAGATATTCTAAGCATAAAAAGGAATAAAAGCAGGAGAATTTGAAGGGGGGTGGGGTCCATAGATGATGTCATCCGGGCTCTCTGGAGCCTCCTGATACTCATATAAAGTGTGATCTTGGGAACCACGCATTTTTCTGAGGGACATCCATGATTCCAGAAAAAGTGAAGATACTGTCAGTAGGTGATGTCGAATAAATGTGGGGTAAAGGGAGACCTCACCTGACTTATAAGTAAATGACAGCAAGATTTTTAAAACTTCAAGTTTTAAGCCAAGATTATCACTCCGTACCTACAAATCTTTAAAAATACCTGTGGTTTGGCAAAATTTGTAGAAAACTCACAATTTTTGTGTCTTCACAATACCCAGCAGGTTGGTAGCAGTCAGAAAACTTAAATGTACTCTTACAGTCTACCAAGACCTCTTCTAAGAAAATACTAACTCTTAAAAAAATGACTTTAATGGTCATTTTTAATGGTCTAAATATAATATGTAGAAGAATATACTGATTGTGATTATAAAAGTTTGGAAACAGCTTCAATGTCCTCCAATTTGAGAATAAACAAAGTGTAGTAAGAGCAGTAATAGATCACCATAAAGCAATTACAAGAAATGATCTAAATCCACGTATTAATAATAATGTAAATAAGACAACTAATATTTTTATGGTATTAACTGGCACTTTTCTAAGGACTTTGCATATGTAAACAACAAGCTGGAGCTCAAAACAATGTGGAGTGGGACTATATAACAGAGCAAAAAACATTGTGATACTATGTATGTTTAAAGGCACAGACTATACTGGAGTTTATTTGTACCCATATGAGGCAAAAATCTAAAGCTGGGATTTCACAGACGTTCACAAAATTCTCTGCCAGAGAAGTCTAGGGTGGTACCAAGGAGACAGTCATTTATAAGAGCCAAACACTGCAGCATCTTCAAGAGACCAGTGCTTACCAGGTACTCACAAAACAATTTGTCAGTACAAGAAAATACAAACGCAAACGTGTGTCTGCTTGGAGAGTGGGGCAGGGCTTGCTAGGAAGGTGGGAAGGTTTGTAAGACAAGCGAAGGAGTCCCATGCCTGGGAGCTCAGTTGTTACTTCCTGGGGAAGGATGCAGTGTGTGTGGAGGGGGGAGGAGGAGGGAGGGAGGACACATAGATGGAGAGGCACACACATGAATGCAGGAGCAGGCTAAGCTCCACAATGAGACTTCCGGAAGCCACCTGTAGCTTCCTGGTGACAACCATCTTTGCTGAGTGAACTGGGAAGACACTGGCACCCCTGACAGGACATCTGGAAGACTCATTGGGCTAACATGTGGTAAAGCTCTACAAACTCTAACGGGAGAGGAAATGACTCACTGACATGCTCTGGCCCTGAAAAGCAAAGAGGAATTATGTGTGGAATCCCAGTCCCCAAGTTCTGTAGGGGTGAGGCCACAATGTCCCCTCCAAATTCATAGTCCCCCGGGGAAAGGGATTCATGGCTGTCTAGACTTAGAAACACAAGGTGTGGGCTGGCGATGTAACTACAGCAAGCCTCTCTTCTTCCAGTCTCTACTTCCCGGGCCCCACTAAAGGAAGGGGTTAGAAGAAAAATCGTTTGGGACAGTCCAGGCATCCTTCTTCAAGCAGATCTCAGGTTTACAGTTCTTACGTCTCATCCCTTTGGCCTCCTGTAGGCTGAACTATTGTCTGTAAGGATCTCCACCTTTGGTTCTAGCTTCCACCCCCATTAACCCCCATCCCGCTGCACCTCATTCTCCAGATCGATGTTCCCCGTCCAGATCGATGCTCCTGGTCCAGATCGATGCTCCCCGTCCAGATCGATGCTCCCGGTCCAGATCGATGCTCCCCGTCCAGATCGATGCTCCCCCTCCAGATCGATGCTCCCCCTCCAGATCGATGCTCCCCCTCCAGATCGATGCTCCCCCTCCAGATCGATGCTCCCACTCCAGATCGATGCTCCCCCTCCAGATCGATGCTCCCCGTCCAGATCGATGCTCCCCCTCCAGATCGATGCTCCCCGTCCAGATCAATGCTCCCCGTCCAGCTCACACTGCTTCCTCTGTGCAGAGTGACTTCCGTCTGACTCCACTTTGCCTGAAAACGTTCCCATCACCCTCTGGAAGCGCTCTTCTGCAGAGGCAACAGCTCAGCCATCTCTGGGACCACACTGATAATCAAACAAACCAGACCCGCTCCTTGTTGATCGGGAAATACGTACACCGTGGGGACGGACAGTGGCTCAGCAGCAGTGTCAGCACGGACCTGCCCTAACTGTAGGCTTTGGTGTGGAGATCTGAGGGGAGCCTGGAGCTTTGCTCTATACTAGGAACCAGGTGATTCCATTCTGAGGGTTTCCTAGTGGGTTCATTGACCCCGTTTACGTCTGAGCAGAGATAGACAAAGTAAGTCTCGCGGTAGTCTTGCTTTGATTGGTTTATCACGGTGCCCACTAGCGCGTCTGCCTGAGGTTGCTGCTCTGTGCGGTTGCTCGTGTCTAACGGGGGGAGTGAAATGGCTTGGCTCTGAGTGTCAGAGCAGCTGACAGTGGTATTGAGGGCTAGCTGTGATTAATTCCAGATGTGGACGGTTGCTTCCTCCTCTCTCCGTACTGATAATGCAAACAGTCATCAGATGTGATATTACACATGTTTTATACGTCACGTAGTAGGCCGTGCGATGCAGCAGCAGCACCGTTGTATCTTAATACTCATTCCACGTAAGCCCCTGTCACTGTAGGACAGCCACGGCATATGAGTGGAACTCACTCCACCCCATCCGCAGGATGGGCCTCAATTTACTTAAAACAGCCCGTGACTCACTCAGGATGGCCTTAGAGACGAATTCCATGGAAACCGACTGCAGTTTCCACACAGGAGGTTTTAGCGGTGGGATTCTTGAAATGGATATAAGGGAGAAGGAGAAGCGGGGTGGAGGACGAGGTGAACTTGACATGTAACTGCAGTAGAGGCCTCTCTTGATTGTCCCCGGGAGCTGTGAGCCATCAGAGATGAACACTCCCAAAGCGGAGCGAGAAGGCCTCGGTTCTGAAAGGAAGGATTGGTCCATTCGGGTCCCGGGGGAAACTATAAAGAAGCGGTTTCAGCATTTAAAGGACAGGTTTGGAGTGCGGTTGGCGGTGGGCGCTGTGATGTGTGAGGGTCTTTCCCCGACAATCCAGCCTCGAGTCTGTGCTCCCTGTTTGCAGCCAGTGAGTCTCCTTCCCACGCCTGGCTCTCCTTTCTCCCAGTTCCCGCCTCTTGCTGACCCCACTTCCTCCCGGCGCCTGTCTGCTATGTCTCTGGACACAGAGCGCCAGGCATTTCTGCCTCTCGACGCTGGGCTCACAGTGGGCAAGTCAACTTCTGACTTTTTGTCACTGATACTTGTTGGCCCTGGCCTGTTGTCGCTGGGTCAGTCACACACACTCTTCACGTCTTTCTCTCCTTGACACACACTCTCCCAGAAAGATGATATTTATCATGCCCCGGGGCTTTTTCAGACGCCAAGATTCGTTTTCGGAGCACACTTGTGTCCCTGGCTTGGAACAGAATGCGGGTTTCCAGGGCCTCAGAGTCCCGAAGCTCTTCCAGGGGCCAGGAGAGAGTCCCCCGGGGGCACCAGCCATGTGTTCAGGTGCTATTAACTTTCTGCCCCCAGGGCCGAGCTCCCCAAACATTTGTTGAAGGAGTCACAGCCACATTTGACCCCAGCAGCTTCTCCTGTCTTTTCAAACAAAACCTGGTGGGAGAAAGGACACCCAGTGTGGAGAGGCGGAGTGTCGGGAGAGATTGGGTGGTTCCGGGATGACAGGGGCTGTCAGAAATTATTTCCTGGGTCTGGGGCCGAAGAGGAAGGGGTTAAAAGTAGCAAATCCTCCACAGGATGAATAAGAACTGTCAGCCTTTGCCAGTGAGTCTGAGTTCAATTGGAAGCAGCAACCGCAGCCTCCTTTTTCTCAAGACTGGAACTAGCCTGCTTTTCTGCATAGGTAGACTTGGACCGGTTTTTCTTTTTCTTTTTCCTTTCTTGGCTTTGTATTTAGCTCTTCAGTGAAACATCCTCAAAAGGGCTCAGAGGCAGCCGTTCCACAATTAGAGCTATGGCTTGAAATATTCGTTCCTGTGAGAGTTGCCACACTGGATTTAATTCATACTACAGTGTGAATAAATAACCTAGGGTTGTTACTTTCTCAAAGCAATCTAATTAAACAGAGAATGTGAGGTTGGGGAGAGAAAGGGACTGAATTGGTCAAGGGAATAGGGAGGAGGGACAAAGAGAGTGGCTGACTGGTGATTTCATAACGACACAGCATCTCAGAGCCACCGCCAATTTATTTCCACAATTGCTCAGCTTAACTTCAAATTTCTCTCCCCCACAGTCCCAGCATCCATTGTAAGTCTCAGTTCTCCCAGTCTGACGCGTGAGGCAGTCTCTGGTGGGAGAAGTGGGAAATTGGTGAGGGAAAGAGGGACAGACTCAAAGGGGTCTGTTGCTCAGAAGCAGAGAATTCAACACATTCCACTTTGTGGCACGTCACTTCCAACCCAAGCTAATTCACAGTGAACAGACCTTGGGAGGATTCTTCCTGGCCGGGCAACCCCCAGGTCACTGTTACCTTTTCCTCCCTTCCTTCCCCATTTGATACTTTTAATCCTGCCTCCTAGGTGTGCCTATCTACTCATGAGATCTTGTGTGCATGTGTGTATATGCATATTTGTGTGTGTGACAGCAGGCACATGCTTGCTGCCATGGCACACAAGCTAAGGTCAGAAGACACCCTTGGGTGTGGGTTGTCACACCGCAGCTTCTTGGAGATAGCCCTTGTCGTCTGCCGCCGTGTGCACGAGACTAGTCCAGGTGGTTCGAGAGCTGTCGGGGTTTCTCCTGAGCCTGCCTCCCATCTTGCAGTATCCATGCTGTACTACAGATGTGTGCTACTGTGCTCACTGTGTGTAGTGTCTGGAGACCCCGCTTGGCATTCACACTTGTATATTAATTAAGTCATTTACCCACGGAGCCGTAGCCCCCAGTCCACACCTTATTGTTAAACAAACCTTCAAAGACTCATATACAAAGCAAAGGGTTTAATCATGACATGTCCGCACATATGCATCAGACATTGTTTTCATTTGTTCCCTTCTCCCAGGCGCTTCCTGGGCTCCCTCCCTACTCCAGGTGGTCTCCTTCCTCCCCAAAGTCATTCTCCTTTCTGCTTTCCAGTTCCATGTATTCCATTACCATCCCTATTTCCCACCCCCCTTCAGACCTCTTCCTCTTCCCTCACGATCAGTTTCCTAGTTTAGTTACCAACACACTTACACACACATACATACACACACACATACACACATATACATACACACATACACACATATATGCACATATACATACACACATATACACATACATACACACATGCATACACACACATACACACATACATACATATACACGCATACACATACATACATACACACATGCATACACACATACATACATATACACACATACACATACATACATACACACATACATACACACATACACACATATACATACACACATACACACATATACATATACATGCATACACACATGCATACACACACATACACACATACATACATATACACACATACACATACATACATACACACATACATACACACACATGCACACATATGCATACATACATACACACATACACACATATACATACACATGCATACACATACACACATACACACATACATACATATACACACATACACACATACACACTTATACATACACATATACACACATGCATACACATAAACATACACACACACTCAAACAC